TCCATATCCTAACTTCACTGTGTAATCTGTATACAGTTTTAATATTTATCAGTTTTATAGCCTCTTAAAATTAGCCTAGACTGGATAAACAAACAAAATGACACAAAGAAGGAAGTTGGTGACACTGGATTTAGGTGTATCAGAGTAAAGTGGCTAAATAGACATGCTCACCACCCTTGTCAGATTTTTATTTGTAAAACACTTGTTGAATCCTAAATTTCCATTACAACCCTCTGCAAAATAATCAAAATTATCTAAGAATGATAATTTAATGGAGGGTGAAAAACTAATAGGTTTGGAAGCTTGCCAGCTTATTGATCACCGTAGGTAATATTAATGAATTCAACAAGTAGTTCTCCCTTTTTTTGGTCAAGCAATGCATCTTCAGCCAATGGGAAAGCAGAGGTAAATTGGTGAATAGGTCTAGCAACAAACTTGGCCTCCCTTGCAAATGGACGTTATCTGTTGAAAGCTTCATTGTGGTTTAATATCCATAGATCGTGTTAGAGTGAATCACAAATATAATTCAGTCTCTACTTGTTGTCTTCTTATTCCACTCTCCGCATCCTCTTTCTACACTACTGTCGATGACTAAATCTCTCCTTCCTTCCTCTATCTGCTTTTACCCCCCCTTCTTTTTCTTTTTCTTGAAGCTCAGCTCGAGTAGTCCTAATTAAGGAGCAGTTTCAGCTCCTCCGTTGGCATATTGCCAAGCCCTAAAAGGGCACATTTCCAGACAAATAATTACCAGTCAGTCCATCAGATTAACATAACGACAGATTTTTCTTTACAAAACGAGCCACGTCCCCTTCTTGTCAAAACGCAGCCAGATACACCCCGTCTTGTTTTAAAGGCATCAGACACAGAGAAATGATGACATATTTTACTGATTTTATTTATTAAACATTGCTCAGTCAAGTGAAGGGTAATAATAATACATGGGGGCTGGGAGTAAAATAATGCAGTCTAATTTCTATTTTATGCATTATAAAGTAGATAGCAATGGGAGCTATTAATGTAAGTGACATAACCTGGACGTGATTAACAACAGAGCTGTTCGTCTTTGTGATGGGAAGGTGCAGCAGAAAGCAGTCCTCTGTGCAATACGCAGCAACAACAGAACAGTGCATTGCAGTAAAGCTCCTCAAACAAAACAAAGTAGTTGCAGCCTGAATAGATAATGTTCCGTAAATAATGACTATCATGTTCTGTATAATCAGCCAGCATGTAGTCTGTGCATTCAAGCATCCAGGTGTGATAGCTAAACTTTAAAGTTCAGGCCCAGATTCAGATGGGATGTGCCTGGGACCAGACAGGAGTGTTTGTCAGACAGGATGGAGCTGTCTTTGGTATTCATCACGTGTTCTCTGCATGTGCACCCATGTGTGCTTTAGGGCTGTACCTCGGCTGTTGGCCATGCTGCGCTGCAGGATCTGCTCAACCCGCACGGCCATGTCGGACATGTTCTGGGCTATGGCCTGGATCCTGTCCACCAGCCCCATCGGCTGAAACCTGACCAATAAAGTCACAGACATATACAAAAGCAAAACGTCTGTTAAAAACTTTTATTATTTTGCATGGCAATGCATTTAAGCATCTTGAAGCAATTCCTATAAGGTTAATATGTGTCAGCAATTCTCACTATGCCCTGAATAGGGAAAACAAATTAGAAAATGCCTTTTATAAAGAAGTTTAAGAACATAAAGGCTTCAAATTTGAGTAATTTGTTCATTTAGATAGATGAGTAATTCACATTTTCAATTAGTTCTTTGTGAAGAAGTCTGTCTAATAACAACATGTTGCAGGGAAATATTAATTAATTTGATCTGAACACTGTAACCTATAATGGGCTGGCATTTTAATGAGGAAGTGATTAATTAACATGGGGGTAAAAACAGAATGGATCGTACAAGTGAAATGTGAATCATATGAAGGTCTTATACTTCCACCTAATATGATGATGGCTACACCTAAAGCCACAATGCAAATAAAACCAAACTTTCTTTAGGCCTAACATTTTGTTGATTAGTTAAAAATTAAAAATGCATTCATTTTAAAAAGCAAAACAATTTCAGAAGTGATATTCCATCAGTAGAATTTAGGTAGTGACCTAAATCTGAGCATTTTCAGCCTGGTTATTTTTCAGGGAAGACATAAACCCAAAATATGTTGGAGAATATAATATACTGACCAAAGGTAAAAGTTAGTTACTTTAAGCACCTTAAGAACAGGTTTGAAAGACGTTTTTTAAAAAGAGGTGAAAACAGGCTTTGTTCATTCAGGCTGTGAATTGAAAACAGGAAGGTCAATTTTAAACTTTTTAGCTAACTATCAATTATAACCTGGAAAATCTGTCCTTGTCTGTATTTGTGATATTTTGCCAGCAGATTACGAATATATTATTATAGTTAACTATGTCATTCAAATCAAGGGTAGAGCCTAGTAATTATTTTTAGTTAGAGGATTATAACTCACAATTTGCTCAATTACCAGGTGTTATTAACTGCTTACCTCTATGGCTGGACATTTTGAACCATCTGCTAAAATGTAAGATGTCTTCACCATTAGTACATTTCAATAATCTCATAAATTAAGCAGTGTTATTAATCATTAACCACAAGGAAACTATTTCTCTCTGTCTAATCAACTTATTAACCAAAAGGGAGGTAGGCTCTGCTTTTTTAGACAATGTGTCATTGCTGTATAAATAATCATGATACGACCAGTTAAAACAGAAAGGTGATTTATTTATTGAACCTAATAATTCCACACACTATTATAATAATAATAATAATAATAATAATAACAGATTTTATTTGTAACGCACCTTACATTTCAAAGAAATCTCAAAGTGCTACAGAGACCAAAAGAAGAAGAAAAAAACAAAGACAAAAATAATAACAATAGTAATAAAATAAAATAAAAAAAAATAAATAAAAAATAAAAAATAAAAAAATAAAGAACAAACTGTAGGGCTTACAGCAATACATCCTACATCGAGCGGCACCAAAAACCAACAAATTATGTTTATTATTATGTTTATTATTTGTTAATTATGTTTAACAATTATGTTTAAGAAACTAAGCAAACACTAAGCTACTGGAATAAACACAAGACAAAAGAAAGAATCAGTAAACAGAATAATTTAAAGAAGTTCTTGAGGTAGAGTCTGATAATGTTAAGTCCATTAGCTCAACTGTTGATTAGCAGTAGAAATGATATATAGCAAACAGATGTGTGATAATGGTCTATTGGTAACAGTCAAATCAATCAAGTTTCACTTAATCCAATAATGAACAATTGCCAATAAACACAATGCAATAACAAAACGTCTTTGTTAAATTTGTTGGCTCACACCAGAGTGTCAGAAAATAGACTGAATCTTAGTGCTTTGTTAGTGCAGCAAAAGTAATCTTTTGTAAAAAAAAAAAATAAAAATAAAAACAAAACAAACAAAGAGAGTCATTTGTACTACTTTTGTTTCAGATATATTATTATTTTTTTCTGTCATCTAGGGGGCATCCATCCCCCCCATTAAGAGGTCTACGCTTTCAGTGCTACTTTCAGATCAATGCAGTTCAATCTGTAGTTTGTGCTGCTTTGGTTCATTAAGATATAATTTGTTTAATTTTGGCCGTTGATGTCATAAACCAACCAGACATTAGTGCTGTGCTTATTTCAGAATATGGTTATTTCACAGCATAATATGTCATTGCTGTGCTGGCATTGAATATAAGTCAACATGTTTACCTTATTTAGTGGGTGGAATATTTAGTTGTCCTTCAGCCTGCCAGACCTGTCATAGTCCTGCTGTAAGGACTTCACAATTAAAGCATAGGTAAGACGTAACTTTACAGACTGCAGCTAAATTGTCCTAAACTACAACTTTCAAAACAGTTTGGGAAGACCATGAATTTTTGGAAAAGCCCCAAGCCTCTGAAAAAGTAGATAGCTTTGGTTCATCCAGAGCTGCGTCTGGATGATGGTCAGATTGGAAAACGTTCTTTTATCTAGCAAGGCCGAGAGCGCCAGTGATGGGGAGAGGACTACTGTATATGGGCTGGGTCTGTGATGAGAGAAAGGGATGACAATGAACAGTCTTTCTACAGCTAAATTAAAACGCCTTTTGTAAAAGCCACCTAAAAACCTCCTCAGAGCATTACTTATGTCCTCTTTTGTCAACATTATTTTCTCTATACTCATTTCTGAGTGAAAAACCTTCATCTCGCCTGCCTTTCTTTAAAGTACGGCATATTAGCCACCAGTTGATTGCCATGGCACAATTTCGAAGAAAAGTTCAGATTTTTCCACCTCAGCAGTATCCACTGCGCCCTCTCTACGCGGTTCGGCTGTTTGAAAGCACCTCAGATTCTATACTTTCTAGTAGTATACTGAGGATGGTGCAGTGACCACTCACATTGTGTGGAATTCACCACTTCATTGCTCTTCCCGTGCAGTTCTCATAGGGATACTATGTAAATCCACCGCCCTTGCCATGAACGCTGCATTTGCTGTGAACGCAGGCTGCAAATCTATGAGAGCCGGGCTGCCACCAAACGTTTTGCAGCTGCTAGAGAGAAGTGCAGCCTGCCCTCTGCCTTTTGCAGCCACAAACCTCACTAAGCCTGCTATCCATCCTTTCCCTTTTCCCTAGAACTGAAGCAGGCAAGTTACAACTATCAGCAAGTAAAATTTGGTCCTCCATACTTTTTACCTAGGCAGTGGAAATAGCTTTTTAATGTTTCTTTTTTTTTATTTGCCCCAGAAGGAGTTTGCCTAAGCTTTCTGTTGATTTAACTTTGCAATAGCATACAGTTGGTATTTGTAAACGGCTGCAGTCGCAGCCAACAAAAAGGTCATTTTATCTCTTCTTCCCAACTGTTTATTTTCATAAATTTTTTTTTTTTTACAACTTTTTGACATGTTAGTTAGCTGACCAAATATAAGTAATACATTTCGGTTATAGAAGTGGTAGTTCTCAGTAGTTTTATTAT